GAGTTTTGGGCAGTGTGGAGTAGCACTTGTTGTTTGTCATTTCTCCGATCACAAATGCAGACAGGGTTTTATGTTTATGCGGCGCGATGCAACGCAACGCGTAAAAAGACAGTATAAGTCATTATAATCAGTAATTATGTCCCCACTGGATGCAACAAATGCCTCGTTTGTAATGGGTTTTAATGTTTTTGTCTCGTCGCTCCGGCCGGACACGGCATCAAGAGTATGGTGAGGGGCATAACATTTCCGTCACACGCTTGAGGTATTCGGCCAATCATAACACACTGGATAGCTGGCCAATCACAGCACACCTCGCTTTTCAGACCGATGAGCTTTGTAAAAATCGACGCGTTTCAAAAAGGCGGGGCATAGAGGAGAAACAATAATGTACAGTATGTGAAAAATAATGTTTTTTTTTACTTTAAACCGCATAAACACATTTCATTACACCAAATACACAAAATAATGTTCTTTTTAGCAGCACCATATGACCCCTTTAATAGCAGGTGTGAACAGGGTTTAAAACAGAACATTTGCTGAGATTAAGTCAATAATGATGTGTGTTTTTCTTTAGATTCGTAATGAGCTAGAGCAACAGATGAACTGCAACCTGAAAGAGTACAAAGAGTTCATTGATAATGAGATGCTGCTTATTCTTGGGCAGATGGACAAAGCCACGCTCATCTTTGACCACCTCTATCTGGTTAGTGCTGCTTTTATCACGCCTGCCAATTCCCATTGTTTTCCCCCCTCTTTTTATTGCCTTTCCCCTAGGTCATCCTACCCCAAAATAAATAAATAATTTATCCAAAAGATACAAATATGACAAATTACATCAGTTAAATAAGTACAAATAAAATACAAATAAAAATGGGGGAAAAGTTTGTCAAGGAAATTTAATTTGTTTAATGTAAAAAGCTTGTTAGTTCTATGGCAGGGCAGATGGTTTTTGTCAGATATGGGGTACTAGATGCCAATTTCCCTAAAAGCCAGTGATTTGCATTGTTTATCTTTTAGGGTTCTGAATGGAATGCTTCAAATCTAGAGGAGCTTCAGGAAACTGGGTGAGTGAGTTTTCCCCCTACCTTTACTGACATCCACAGCTTGTTTTCTTCCCATGCTGTTGTTTCTCTCAAGATACTGCTTCTTTAAATGGGTTAATGTTAGGTAAAGGTGAAAGTTTAAGGTGAGTGTGTATCGTATCACCTCTTAAAGGGCAGCATTTTCTCCTGTTTCAGATAAAGTTCAGAGTAAATCCATCAAAGCTGTTTCTTTTACAGCAAGAAACAGGGTGTATTTTAGTACCTGATGTAAGGAATAAGAATAAACTTGCATGCATATGGTTTTCTATTGTTGTCCAGATGTAATTTATGCGATCTCTAAATGCATTGCTGTTTTAGGGTGGGCTACATCTTAAATGTTACGAGGGAAATAGATAACTTTTTCCCAGGAACATTTTGCTATCATAATGTCCGAGTGTATGACAACGAGGCCACAGACTTACTGGCTCACTGGAACGAGACCTACAACTTCATTGTCAAAGCAAAGTAAGGCTCTATTTTAGATTTTTCTCTCTAAATATAAGCAACATACTTGACTCTTTCAATGTGACTTTTTATACCCTCATGTTCTGTACTCTGCAGAAAGAATCAGTCCAAATGTTTGGTTCACTGTAAGATGGGCGTAAGCCGCTCGGCCTCTACGGTAATAGCATATGCCATGAAAGAGTACGGCTGGTCTCTGGAAAAATCATACAACTTCGTCAAACAGAAGCGCAGTATCACCCGTCCCAATGCTAGCTTCATGAGACAGCTGGCGGAGTATGAGGGTATACTGGATGCCAGGTACAAGAGAAATTTCCTATATTATTGTAATTTGGTATGTGTATTTCTAGTTAAAGGTTCACCCACAAAACTAAAATTCTGTCATCATTTATTCATACACATTTCTACGGTGTAAAAATATGTTTTTTTTTCATACAATGAAACTCAGTAGGGTCCAATGTTGAACCCAATTTGAATTTCAAATTTTGGGTGAACTTTCCCTTTAATACTTTTTTAACCCTTTCTATACTTTTTCCCTTCAGTAAGCAGCGTCATAACCGTCTGTGGCATCCCGATTCAGATTGCGATCACCCTGATTGCCAGCAAGCAGCTTCCCCTTGCTGTGTGAACTCTGAAACTGTGGATCATGTCACCCCAGACCCCACAAACCCCAGGGTCACCGTATGGCGTGAGCCTACCACCCACTCCTCTC